CACCCGGTGGCGGACGCCGGGGGGGTGGGGGGGTGACGGGGACCGGGGACAGGGCAGGAGGGCAAGGAAAGGCCCTGGGGCTTCTCACTCGGCTATGGGGCAGGTGAGCGGGGCTGGGGGTGTTCCCCTGGCTGCCCCCTCCCCGCAGCACCCTCCAAGCCTCGCAGAAACTGCTCCGCTCCAAGCAGCACTCCATCCCAGGGCTGGGTGACAGGGATGGGGGGACGGTGCCTGCAGGGACCGTGGGCTGTGTCCTCCAGCCGGGCCCTGCCACCTTCCTGGGGACATCCCGGCAAAACCCAGCTCAGGAACGGAGCAGGAGCAGCTTTCCCAGCCCATGTTCTTTACAGGGCATCCATCGGGGAGGGCTGCAGGGAGCTCTAACCCACCATATGAACAGTATTTCTCCTGCCCTCCCTCCTTACAGCTTCAGTCCAGCCCGGGCAAAATAAAACCCCTCCCACAGCGAGCCAGAGCTGATTTCTGAAAATCCAGCCTCCTCCACCCCACGGCCCCGATCTCCCAGCTGATAGCAGGAGAGACAAATAGGCCAGGAACGAGGTAATCTCAGCTCGCCACTGGTACCGCGCCAGCGCTGCATGCTAACGAGGCACTATATATGCACACAGTGTTTTGTCTAGCACTAAATATTGCCTGTCTTACAGGATCCTGAGTCAATAGGATGTCAAGGAGGAGAAACCGGCTTTTGGAGGGCAGGGGAGAGACACGCTTGCGGCCGTACGTCTTGCTGGAATACGCACACGCGGATTAAAACAAATTCCTATTTTCATGCCTCAAAACGGGAAGAGATGAGAAGGTTGTAATATCGGAGGCAGTCTGGTTATCCGTCTGTCTGGGCCAACTGATTCGCCCAGCCGGCCATCCTCAGTGTTATCTATCTGTCCGCAGAGTTGCTCATCCATCTGTCCATCCGTCCATCCACCCACCCACCCGTCCATCCATCCATCCATCCACCCACCCGTCCGTTCGTCCATCCATCCATCCACCTGTCCGTCTGTCCGTCCATCCATCCATCCATCCATCCATCCACCCACCCGTCCGTTCGTCCATCCATCCATCCACCTGTCCGTCTGTCCGTCCATCCATCCATCCATCCATCCATCCATCCATCCATCCATCCATCCATCCATCCATCCATCCATCCATCCATCCACCCACCCATCCATCCATCCACCCATCTATCCATCCATCCACCCACCCATCCACCCATCCATCCATCCATCCATCCATCCATCCATCCATCCATCCATCCATCCATCCATCCATCCATCCATCCATCCATCCATCCATCCATCCATCCATCCATCCATCCATCCATCCATCCATCCATCCATCCATCCATCCATCCATCCATCCATCCATCCATCCATCCATCCATCCATCCATCCATCCATCCATCCATCCATCCATCCATCCATCCATCCATCCATCCATCCATCCATCCATCCATCCATCCATCCATCCATCCATCCATCCATCCATCCATCCATCCATCCATCCATCCATCCATCCATCCATCCATCCATCCATCCATCCATCCATCCATCCATCCATCCATCCATCCATCCATCCATCCATCCATCCATCCATCCATCCATCCATCCATCCATCCATCCATCCATCCATCCATCCATCCATCCATCCATCCATCCATCCATCCATCCATCCATCCATCCATCCATCCATCCATCCATCCATCCATCCATCCATCCATCCATCCATCCATCCATCCATCCATCCATCCATCCATCCATCCATCCATCCATCCATCCATCCATCCATCCATCCATCCATCCATCCATCCATCCATCCATCCATCCATCCATCCATCCATCCATCCATCCATCCATCCATCCATCCATCCATCCATCCATCCATCCATCCATCCATCCATCCATCCATCCATCCATCCATCCATCCATCCATCCATCCATCCATCCATCCATCCATCCATCCATCCATCCATCCATCCATCCATCCATCCATCCATCCATCCATCCATCCATCCATCCATCCATCCATCCATCCATCCATCCATCCATCCATCCATCCATCCATCCATCCATCCATCCATCCATCCATCCATCCATCCATCCATCCATCCATCCATCCATCCATCCATCCATCCATCCATCCATCCACCCATTCATCTGTCCGTCCATCCATCCATCCATCCATCCACGCATCCTCTGGGGCTCTCTGGTGGAACTGCCCAGCTCCGGGCCGTGCCAGCGGCCACAGCAGAGGCTTCGCCACGTGCTGGGACCCACCTCGTGATCCTCCTGGGCTCCATGAAGCTGGGGGAGTCGCGTCTCCTCTTCCTGATGGGGGAGTAGCTCCTGGAGCGGCGCCGGGCGCGGGCAGGATCGGGGTCACCGTGGCGTGTTCGGGGCTCGTTGTCCTTCTCTCTACACCACGAGGAGGAAAAGGAGTGTCAGGGGTGTGGGATGGGCTCCGGCTGGGACGCAGGGACAGCCCGTGCACAGCAGCTCCCCACGGGGGTGACACCCCTACCCAGGGCTGGCGCTTCCAGTGCCACCGGGGACAGCAATGACCCGCAACCCCCTCCCCGAGCCCCGGGGGAGCCGGGACCACCCTGAGCCACGGATGCTCTCTGAGCCCATTGCTGGTGCCCGCACCCCCCGCAATGAAGCCCCCCCAGGGCTGACCTGCTGGCGGGTTTTTTTGGTGAGGGCGAGCAGGAGCGGCTGGGCGGGTTTTTGAGGGCGAGCAGGAGCGGCGCGGCTGGGAGCCGCTGGAGCTCCAGGAGCTGCTGCGCTGGCCGGGGCTGGGCGACGGGCTCTTCCTCCGCTCCGAGGCGTGCCGGGAGTGCTTGGCCGACGACTCCGAGCTGCTGTTGGGCCGGCCCCGGTGGTGCCTCTCCTTCACCCTGCAAAGGCAGACCCCAGCACCTCCTCGCATCTCACCTGCCGCGGCTGGCGGGGCGTCCCCACGGGCGCTGGGGACCCCGGGTTCCCATGGGGGAGCAGCGGGCGCACCTACATGACCCCAGTTTTTGGCTGGGCCGCATCCCTGATTAAAAAGCACGGGGTGCTCGCCCGCTTGGGATCCTGCACCCTGCGGGATGCTGTAATCCCACGCAGCCATTCAGGCACTGCCCTTCACGCTGGGATAATCCCCCGTGGGGATCACCCTTCCCACAGTGCACTGGCATCGACCCACTGCGGCTCGTCCCCGGCCCCAACCCCATCCCCGCCTCCATCCTCGTCCCCATCCCTTGAGCATCCCAACCCCGCCCTGGTCCCCAGCTTGGCACCCAGAGCTTTGCCCGGATGGAACCGGGATGCCCGCATGGGGCTGCACCCCACATATCGGAGGCCG